CCAAAAAATACAACAATTTAAAAAGGATATATAATCTCCATGCATATGTAAAATGCCTCTTACAAAAATCATTCATTTTTGTTAAAAGTGTGCCTTTTTGCTTCTTTTTTTACAAGTGTACATGCAACTACCTGTCCCAGCTAAAACTATTTACAAAATTTCATCGTACAATACATCTTTTAAAGTGAATAATACATGAAAGGCCAATGTTTTCTGTTGTTTTTTAACACTGTACAAGATTAAAAATAAGGCATTATAATACAGGTTTATCACAAATTAAAAAAATGTTGATTTTCACTGTAATACAAAACTCTAACTTGAAAGAATATTATGGCTAAATAGTCCTCCTGCCTGGGCAGAACACATACAGAATCTGGACTTGCTGATGTAAAGAAAATGCATTCTTTCTGCTACAAGCAGGAATCCAACACAGGAAAATGATTCACGCTACTTATTAATGTGTTCAGACTCTTCAAAGCACTGAAATGGCACAGGTCATATACTGTTTCCATTCAAATAGTGACACCCAACTACTTTATTTTGCCTGATAGATAAATTACAGGCGAAAGTGTGAAAGAGATTTTGGTGCATGACCTACTCTTGTTTACAGTGCTGTAAAATATTCAGTTCAGTATTGACATGAGACATTGCTATAACCCAAGGCAGAACTTGGCCTACAGAAGCTCAACTTCTGACCTTTACAAGCAAACTAAACTGGTGATTGCTGCAGGCCTTGTGGATACATAAGGGGATGCAGATTAAGCTCTAAAAACCTGAAGTTTTTGGCTCTCAGCCTCACTGAGGGAAAGCAAGGGAAAATTTGTGTTTGTTTGGTGAAGATAATGGAGTGTCACTAGCCACAGGGCAAAGCAGCTACAAAAAACTATGCATTTCACAGGCTGGGTAAAGCAGATTTCTAGTCAATGTAAATGGAATATGTTTGGAAATATCTAGCCAGTAATCCAATGGAATGCCAGTTTGCAATCTCAGCAGAGAATATGAATTAAAAAATCACTTGAAGATAAAGGTAGTAGAGGAATACTTAGAAATTATCTCTCAAGACTAAAGATCTCTGACACTTATATGTTTATATAGAGAATGAAAGACTTCTATTATTACTATTATCTGAAAGAGAAAGCATGCAAACTGACATGAAATATTGTGCTTGCTATTGACAGACATCAACATGCCAAAATGGCATTACTGTTTTTTAGTGCTTGTATCTGTTAATTGTTTCAAGCTAACAGCTGCACAAAACAGTGAACAGAAGTACAGGAGGCCATTCTGCCCACAAATCAACAAGTTACTATCCTCAGCTGAACACTTGGGACTTTTGGTTGCTGTGGGGCTACAGCAAGGTTACCTAGGCAAAAGGTAGAGTGCTTGACCAGAAAATTAATATATGCAAGACAGGAAATATAACTGCATGCAGTAAGATGGACACAACACAAATCCCACAGAAATCCAGGGAAATCCTTCTGATGATTTTCAGGGATATTGGAGTGGGCCACACACCATCTTACGACAATTGCCAATAAAAATTTTGCTTACAATCTTCTCTAATTTGGCAGAAAATGTGCATTTATGAGGTTTTCAGAAGTATTACTTCCATGTATATTTTCCTTCTTTCCATGTATAAAACTTATTAAACATGTCAAAGAATACAGAAGAGCTGAGAGATTAAATATGTCATTTAAAACTGTCACACAAGAGCTGAAATTAAACAAATGTAGACAGAACAGGAAAGTGGGGAAAAACTATATGAATAGGGAGGGAAAGCATAAAGATAACAGCACAGCTTCATTATATCATGGGCACTTAGCTTTCATTGTTGAAATGGCTGCTGAACCCTGCCTATCATTTTTACATTGTATTTGACTAATTTGTGCCTTAGATGAACTTTCTTCATAAATTTATATTGTTCAGTCCAGGACTACAAAGTGTATGTCGTTTTCCCCATGGTAAAACCAGCAACAACATAGTACAAATTCAAAAACATTAATGATAGGATAATGATGTTAATGATAATGAACTTAATGAGTGATGTTAACATGGTCTATTGGAAGGCTCACGGTCCCTGCCTATGGCAACAGGGTTGGAACTAGATGATCTTTAAGGTCCATTCCAATCCGAAGCATTCTATAAATCTATGACTTAAAGTCTGGAAACCAGCTCCAAATATACCATTATTGATTCTGTAAGCTAGGACATACACACTAGCTTGCCTGCAGTACCAAGAAGCCATCCTGATCCACTCAACTGCTCTAGGAGGCAAAGACCTCCTCCAAAAGTGCAGAATGAGAAGCTGATGATGGACTGTGCCTGTCTGGTCCTTTCCATTCAACATGGAAAAGATTCTTACAAAAGTAACATGCCTTATTTGGAAAAGAGGATCAGGCTTTAAAAATCTTTGGGCCTATTCTAATTAATTATTACCTGCTAATAATTTAAAATGAATAATCTAAATTTACCTTGCTACATGATCTTCCACTGATATTACCAGACTGGGAATGGTCTGGGAAGGAGAACAGTCACAAAAATATCCGCAGAAGGGACAATTCATTTGTGCTCACTGTCCACTCAGTAAAAGATCAAAGGAATAATGGCACGATGCCTATATCTTGAGCCTAATAAAAAGAATAACAATTAAGTAATTTCACTGAAAGCTCTTGGGTGGGCCAATGGTCTGTTTGGTCGATGTTTTCACATAACTACCAGATCTACTTCTAGGATCATCTAGAAGATGCTTTTATTTCATTATTATCAGTGAAATTATACCAAATTCATTGAATTAAAAAATTGTGTAGAATGGGCTCTGTGAGAGAGGAACTGAGTGATTAATGCTATTGCATATAATGCTTTCTAACTTGGTTAAATGTTTGACTTACCCATGTGATTATTTAGTTCTTACAAACCTGTTAGAGAAAATAACTGTGCAGTGTTCTTTACATGAATACTACTTACTCAGTTTATTTGTAAATATTTCTTCTTTTAAGTATGTGTTCTCTACATGTATATTTTTTAAATTATTTGAAACTCTCAAAACCAGAAATAAATTGTTCTGGAAGAATATCTGTGAACTGGGTAGCTCCTAGAGAGATAAAGAAATGCAGTGACTTTCTTCAGCTCAGTCAGGGAGCATATTACCTGTACAGTACAATTAAGAAGCAGTTCTCAGGTTTTTATAGTCACTTGAATCATAAGACTAACTTTTCCAGCTTTGTAACGAAGCACCCAGCAGACAGGGTACATAAAAATTAATTTAAAACTCTGCTGAAAAACACTGGAGTCCCACAGTATCCTGAGTGAAGAACAGAAATTCCTGCAACATTTCTTTAACCATTTTCATCTATTGACAACATAGATTGTGTGGCTTTAGCTGTTGTTGGTTTTTGATCTTGGTTTTTTTTTGGGGGGGGGTGGATTGTTTTGCTTGTTAAGAGGAAGTTTTGCATGTTTTTAGGCAACGTAAAGTTTTACTTCTCTTTCGGGAAGCAGAGGTGGTTAGTTAGCCTGTGAATCCCCATCAGGACAAAATGGCACATGTCCATGGAGTACATGTCCCTCAGCAGGATGACCTTCAACTGCTCCCACCTTGACTATGGAGTTGCACTCTACATTTCACATCCGGATCATCACTTCAGTATGAAACCGTAAGCCATATGATTTGGGCAGCAGTAGAGAAGAAAGCAGCCACAATATTTTCCTTTTTATGCAAATTAAGAGCAGGCCTTGCTCTCCTGGCACATTTACCAGTGCTCCTCATTTGGCAAAGTTTGACTGTGCTTGTTTCTCAGAATTATAGCTTTCTATAATTGTACAGCTTTGAAGAATAAGTCTGGATAGAATCAAGGTAATAAAACTGTGGCATAAATTTAAAAATCAATTAATATATAAAACTATGTCGCCAAACATACAAATGTCACAAAACTAGCCAGCAGCATGTTTGCCGCCAGTACACGACTGTTCCTTGAGCTGTTTAGAATGGTAAATCCTGGACTTGAGCCACAGGACTTGTGCTATTTCTAAAAGTCTGAAATAATACCATCCTTCTGCTCCTCAGTAAAATCAGCACTGTACATACAGGAATGTTTCTATATTGCAGAAGCATATTGCTGTGCTTGCAGGGTGGCTCCTCTGTCTTGCACAAAGTCAAATGACCTACAAAGAGGCAGCAAATTCTATGCTCTACCACGCTTGTATTTTTTTTTAATGGAAAGAATATATATTGTTCTTTTGCCTAAACTTTAAGCTCTGTGATTTATCTACTTTATATCCTAGTGTAATGGTTTGATTGAAAGTTTTTGTAAGTTTTTGTAAGTTTTTAGAGCATGCAAGGAGAATTAAAAAAAAATATGTAGGGTTCTGTAATTAGCTGAATCCAGTTTTCATTAATCCTCCATTGACAGCTCAATAAACACTGTTCTCATTGTACTAATTCATACACTGGGAACACAGTTTCTCAAAGTCTTACTGTAGCCCTGGAGAGTCTTCAGGTGTTCCATATTCCATGGTTAAATGCAGCTTTGCTAATCCCAGGCCCAACAATTCTGGCTATGACAGAAAGAGAAATCTCTTTGCTATGTCTCTTCAGGTGGATGTGTAAATAAATACACATTTTTATGTTCATTTCTATAAATCTCTATTAAGTCTACATAGAACTGTTTGTATGTGTGTATATATGGATTAAAACATGTATATACACACACACATAAATAATTGCTTGCACATTTATCTATTTTTTTTCACTTACTGTTTAAAAATGCCAGAAAATATGCCTCATTTCCAGAAAATCCCATTTTGACTTTTCATAACAGAATTGCTAGCCCTTATATGTTCCATCCCAAGAGTTCATTACACAGTCCCCAAGTTCTCTTTGGTTGGGTTGTAGTGGTCCTTGGTTAATGACATGGCCTATGACCTCTGACTTCTTATTAAAAATTCAGGCAACCATTGCTCTCCAAGTTCACTGCAAGTGACACAACCAAATCTCCTTTGTTCTATGCCTCCTTCACAGCTGGCACAGAAGGAAGATAATGCAGTGTTTGGTTTGTGTGAGTGGCAGATGCTTGACCTGCTCCAAGACCAGGTTTTACAGTAAAGCTAGCAACTGAGGACACCGATGGACAGCTGGTGCCTAGTTTTGTCTGAATGTTTGCTCTCCCATAAGGGTACATTTTCCGCTCTAAGTTTAATGACCGTGTTTGGGAATTATTTCCATCAGCCTTTCCTTCCAGGAAATAGGTCAACATTTCACCTTTTCCCTTTACACTAACTTTACCCCTGCACACGAATTCATAACTGCATCTTTTTAATATCCGCTGAACTTCTTCTGTCACCTGAAGACAGAAAAAAAAAAAAAACAAACCCGTTACTTTTTTCTGTCCATGTTGTTACCCATCCCTCTCCCTTTTACTTCTTAGTCATGAAATATGAATAAACAGAATGGATTATCACCTACAGCTGCTCTCAAGCTCACTTAGAATTTTCTTTAAGAAGTAAAGATCACTGATAAAACTGGAATCTGAGAAGCAGAATTTCTGGTCTTGAGTTAAATAAATACACAGACAGATTAAGCTCCATCCAAAAGAAATATGTAGCCAAATTGTAAACTGTATCAGTTTTAGTGATGTTAATTTATTGCAGAAGACCTTTTGGTCCCTGAAGATTAGACAGATATTTTGGATAAGTTACTGAAGGTGTTCACTGAGCTTTTGAGTGGAACACCATAGGTTCTAGTAGTAGAGCAACAATGTTCTCTGTCTGCATCACCTCTCCAATCCAAAGTATCTAAGCAATTTTTAGAGCTGCATAAAATGTGATAAGATGCAAATGAGCATAGATCCTTTCCTTGTAGGTCTTATTTGGGCAAAAGTTCTACAGCACAAAGACCAGCAGTGTTAACATTCCCAGGCTTACCTTCAACTGTGTGCAATGAAGCAGAGAACTCTTGTTTCTTTTGATGGGAAATTATTTATTTGAGGATTTCATTGTCTCTAAGGAGTGAAGTGTATAAGACAGAAAACAACTATACTTCTGATGGTGAGTCATCTGGAGAGTGTTGCCCTCTCCATAAGAACAAAGGGAGGTTGCGTTTTCTTAGTGTTCTTGAAAATGTAACCACATATAAACCAGGAAGTATGTAAAGTTTGCAAAATTCTCTTAGAAAGCACTCACCTGAATCTTTCCCTGCACTCCAGTACTATCCATCCGGCTGGCAACATTCACAGTGTTCCCCCAAATATCATACTGTGGTCTTCTGGCTCCAATGACTCCTGCCACTACCGGCCCAACATTAATACCTAAAATTAAACAATGAGTTTGGTTTTCACTACAGCATATTATCCAAGGAAACATGAATCCTGCAAAACAGATTTGACTTACGTGTCTTAGCACTTTTTTTTGTAATGCAGTAATATATGTTAACATCATAAAGATGAGTAAAGGGAAGTTTAGGTTAGGTGGTAGGAAAAGGTTTTTCACCCAAAAGGGGACTGAGCGCTGGAACAAGCTCTCCAGGGAAATGATAACAGCAACAAGCTTGACAGAATTCAAGAAGCATTTGGACAATGCTCTCGGGCACATGGTGTGACTTTTGGGCTGCCCTGTGTGCAGGGCCAGGAGTTGGGCTTGATGATCCTGATAGCTCCCTTACATACTCAATGATGTCTTAGCTTATTCATGATTCTATGACTAAATTAATGCAAGTGGACTTCTGCATTTGTAAAAGTCTTAGAAACACAACAAAGACATTCCTTGGGATATCTTATTGGAAATGTAATTTGTGATTACAAATGTGATTGACAACATAAAAATTTGATTCTTCTGTGGATTTAAAAAAAATACAATATTTGTTTAAAGAAAAGAAATAAAGCAGTAGTAGCGCAGAGTTTAGCTGAAAATGGGACAAACTGTTAAAGATCTTTAATTGTTTCCTATAACTTCCACTGCAGTTGCATATATAAAGCCTTTTAATGGAGGTTTTAATGGAGATTCTCCAAGTGGAGCAGAAATAATGGTCTGGAATACACAAAGATTGGGGTAAGGGAAGTGTGTCAGGTTGGTTGTTAGTACTAGACAACTCAGATCCCAGAGACAGTAGAAGAGGACAAAAGTATGTGAAAATGGCTCAAGCATATTTTTTTTGGAAACTGCAGAGCTCAGTTCTACATTTCTGACTGATTTCAACATCTGGTTTGGAATATAAAAGAGGATGTTTCTTCTGAGTGCTCTGAAGAGTTGCAGATACTAAACCCTGCATGAGATTCTGTGCAAGGGCTTTTCTAGACAATTTATGCAGAAGAATGAGGGTTAGATATTTGATCCTTTGTGAACCTGGAAAGACAAGTTATAACAGAGTTCAAAGAGATTTTGGGGTTTGTAATTATTAGGATGTACAGGAGGTCAAAGATGTATAACTCTCCTGTTGCTGCCTTTGATGTCTTTGGTCTTTTTCAATCTTCTGCTGCTAGCAACCTCAGTTTTCCTGTAGCCCAGCTCATTCTCACAAGTCAGCCATGAAAATATATAGAGAAAGAAGCTGGAGAAAACTATTAGTGTTAGAATATGCAATAAAATAAGAACAGCAGTAGAAGTACTGCTGGAGAGGAGCAGGATACATGAAGAAAGGGAAGCAGGGAACTTGATGTCTAAGAAGGCTGAGAGGAATGAGTGGTAAGACATAACATGTAAAGGATTGCATGGGAAGGGTTGTGTTGTGCAGACCAGAGGATTTGATTCGTTGGAGCAAACAGGACTGGTTAAGGTGATTTTTTGTTTGAGGAGAAAAAGCTCCCTTTGCACTTTTAATGCCAACAAAGACTTTGCAGATGCAACTTAACGTAATACAGTAAGACTCAATTTTCAGCAGCTTAGCAATGTTCCCTCAGCAGTGTTAATTTGCAACTCTAAAGCCCTTTGGCTCTGGACAAGCTTGTTTAAGTATTTTTTCAGTGCTTGGGGTAGATTCTTCTGTGAATTCAATTGTCACTCTGCCCAGAGGCAAGCTATTGTTCCAGCCTCCAAGTGTAATCCACAAGATTGGGTACACTCATAATATTGTATAAAATTAATGGTGCACTTTCCTTTTAGGGGCGCATAGATTAAGTAAGCACACTGGAATTGGAGGGAATTACAATTCTTAATACTAATGCACACCATCCAGACTGCTGACCTTTTACATGGATGTGACTCTCTCAGTAATGGAGAATTCTCAGTTTTAATCATAAGTGCAGGACAGGTAATCCTTTGTTGACAGCACAGGAAAAGCCAACAAAAACTGATCTTCTGCCTGTGTGATAATTGTAGAAGCATGACTTACCAACTCGTAGGACAAAGTCATTGTAAGACTGATAGTTGATTTCATCAAGAACGTCAAACATCTCAATTGCAAAATCTGCCAATGTACTCAGATGGGAATAAATTGATTTTTTAGCCTAGGAACAAAATAGTGTTGCACATTAGATTTGTACGGTACTGAGATGCAGGTTAAATACTAAAGTGAAAAATAATGAGAAGCTCAAACAGATGTCTTAGGAAAAGAATCTAACCAATTTTTTTTGTTTGTGAAGGGAAACTTTAGATGGTAGCTGCAGCACATGCATTCTTTTCTTCTGCTATTTTTTTGTTCTTCTCTCTCTCCTTTTGATTTCTGGGAAGAATGGAAAACAAAGTTCCCATGGTAAAGTGGTTCTGTTGCTAGAGAGCTGCAGATGTTTGTTTTGAGTGTGGCAGGGAATATAACCTGCTTTCTTACAAAACTACTTTGCCTGATGATTATTAATAACTACAGTTTCTGCCCTCTTCTTCCTTTGGGGATTTTGCTAGCTCTCAGCTTCCATGGGGTGTATGCTGTTCCCATTGACAAAATTCCTTTTAGGTTTAATCCTGTGAGGTGCAGAACAACCCTGTGTTTTTTCTTTCCAGGCAAGTTGAAGGGAGCTGTTATCAAATGCATCTAAATGAACTAATGTTTTTTCTCCAAATGGATCAAATGAAATGGCGAAGTATTAACTTGTAAATAAAATGCCAAACATAAGAAAATAATTTTTACAAATTCAGTCTTATTAAACTGTGCAACTAATTTCAGAGGATATTGTAGATTCCAAAACTTAGCAAGCTTCTAACATAATTCTAAAGATCATGAAAGAAATATTTGTTACAAAGTAGTAAAAATCTAAGCAGCATATTATTAGAAAGTGGGAAAGAAAGGTTTGCATATTTGTTTTGTATGCTCTTCCCCCAGGATCTAACCTTGGTTAAAGACAGATTACCAGAATAAATCTTTGGCTCAAGTCAGTATGTTCTCTTATGTTCTGCTCTTATTTGAATAAGAAATATAAATTTTTAAACAAATTTGATAAGTCAAAGTGGGCTAAAGGTAGGATATGGTGAAAGAAATGCAGGGTCAGTGGCAGCTTCAGTAGGGTGTTACACAACAGGACTGTGCAAGCTGGCATGAGATGAAAGCTTGCTGAGTTTTTGCCATGATAGTGAGAGTTTATAAATGCAGTGCTAAACAATGGCTGAGAAAACTGAGAAACAGGTTGCTATTTCCTTCATTCATCTCAGTTTGAAAGGGCTGCTTTATGTGGCAAAGAAATTTACAAAAAATTGTGAAAGTCATACTTGTGGCAGTCCCAACTTTTGGGAAGGATATTTTTATTTACCTGCCTGAATGTCTGGCATTCTGCTTCTTTCACTGTGAACGAGCTAGTTCTACTCTTTTCAGAATCACCAAAACAAGGAAGAACAAGAATTAAGCTTAAAGAGCTAATGGATACATTTCCAACAGAGAAGGATAAAATATTCAATGTCTGGAGTGGGGGGATAGGAGTGCATAGTTTTATTTGATTTCTAATCTTCTTTATGTTTCCTCTCTTCCATTTATTTGCTGTCTGATGAATGTTCTGTTTTCCTACAATGCCCTTCAGGGTTGCAGGAGAAAGGACTGGTGACAAATACTGAGTGCACTGCAGGTGACAGATGCCTCTCAATAGGATTAGGGCAAACTTGAACCTGCACTGAGGAACACAAAGTTAGGACCCTGGTGAAGTCAGGATCCTGGTGAAAAAGACATAAAATGAATTTATATAGTGCAAAAGATCTACAAAGAGTTTGGTTTGTGTGCTGCCCTGTTGATAGAACAAATAATTATTTATTTAAATATCAGAGTAATTACTTGAAAAGACTGCCCAGAACATCACAGCAAAGTCACTGCAGTAGAGGCAATGAGCATTTACTGTAGTCATCTGCTGAAGTCAAGGTGCAGAAACAGGAATCCAGTAAAAAATGGGATTTAAATATTTAACTTCATTAGGGTACTGTGATCTTAAGTATATAAATATCCTCAGTTAAGACCGCAATTAACCCCATCCACTGCTTTCTGTTCATGTCCAAATTCTAGTGTGAAATTAGTGATTCAAAATCAGAGGCTGTGCCAGATTTTCTGTTGAACCTGGAACACTCCTGCCAGAGGGCAGACCAGAGACACATATGACTCGATAGGATAGCCCAGGAACTGTGTGAAGCTGGCAGTGATTGTCTGTGCATGACAGGCCAGCCAAGATTATCAGACTTCTAATATACAAGTGTATGCTGAAGAACTACTGGGAAACTGGCAAGAGGATGTGAGTAGTTTCTATTAATTTGCATCACATGAACAGTAAGTTGACATCACAGAAGAGCTGAAACCCTAAGTTAAAGTAAAAATTATTGTCTGTTTCATATGACAGACAATTTTTCTGCAATACAGAATTTTAAATAAATTCTATATATATAGAAAAAAATCAATATCTGCCCCAAGATTTAAAAGGAAGACAAAGTTCTGTACAAGATTTTCTGCAGTGATTTAAAATGCATTACTATCATAAGCTCAGAACAGTATCTTCAGTACTGGACTAACTCAATTGACCCTTCACTCAACAACTATAAAATACAAGAGACAAACATATTTAGGTTTTGGAATGTATGCAAAAGTTAAGTTACCCAATAACACACTTGTTTTGAGGATTATAGTTCAAAGAGCATTTATAGCAGACACAAAAGTATGCCACTGCCTGTTTGCCTCAGATCACACACTGAAAATGTTCTAAAGATCAGTGTTTTTTGGCTGTCTCAGAACCCATGAGTCAAACATTTTAGAATAAACAGATTTTAAAAAATACCTCTTTTTTGGGTAATGTATAGATTTCTAGGAATGATACAAAGGAAGGAATCAGCCAGAAATACTTTGCAGACCAGAAGGTTAGTTGTGTGATATACTGCAAATGATTCTAACCATTGATTTAAATGTGGCCTTGTTTTCTATTTACTTAACAGGGATAGTTGTTGCTAAAAATGTCCACAGGGCATCTTCTGGGTTTGTTTTTTTTTTTTTTTTTTTTGCTCTTTTTGTATTCTTTTGTGTTTTTTTGCAATGCTAAACCATATGCACTATTGTATTCAACATATGTCTACAACATATGTACATGCATATCAGAACAAGGGAGAAATGTCTGAAAACTCTGGGCAGATGAGGAGAATGGATTGCTTTAATTTTCATACTATTCTTATATTAGTAATTTTATAAAATTTTAATGATTTAGTTTTATTAGTGTTATTACTAACATGCATAGTACTTTGTATACTATGCATATAATATGATGCTCACAGGTTTTTCTCACTTTCCAGATGCTGCTTGGAAATCTAGGAAATCTCTGTTACAAGATAGTAACTTAAGGTAAGAATAATACTCTAAGAGGTAGTGATAAGAATACAGAGGAACTCTGACACAGAGACAGTGGGTTTGAAATTATTTTGACTTTTTTTATTGCTGAGTAATTAAAGCGGTAAATAGAATGCTAATGGTAGAGACAAAGAAGAGCTGATTTGGAGGGGCCAGGTACAGTGCAGCACTGTACCTAGCACAAAGTTCCTGTCCATGATGGGGGTTGGGAGAGGATGTTTGTTTTAGTTATAGGTTACATTCAGATTTCAATATTAAAATATATATATAAAAACTGCATTTTAATAGTCTTCTACTAGTTTTGCAGCAATTCACTACACCTAGAGTCTACCTTTCCCTGCATCTTACAAGGACATCTAAGATACCAGGTTTAAAACACTACTCCTGATTTAGAGCCTTTTATACACCAACTTACAGGGAATTCAAAGCTGCAGACAATGAAATCACAAGAGAAGCCACATAAGCAAATGTGGCAGTTTTCCTTCTGGATCCAGCTGTTCTTTGAATTTCAGTCATAAAAGTTATCAGTAATCGCACAGAATTAGTTGTGTTTCTGATGTTCTTCTGGAAATTGAAGGAAAATGGTTCCTTCACATAAGACTGTTATGTAAAATCTTCTCACCTTAGTTCCTGAAGTAGGTACGAGTCCCACAGCTGCCATATAAGTACTTCCAATTGTCTTGATCTTTTCAATATCCTTATAATATTCTTTGTCCATAAGCTTTGTTTAAAACATAAAACTGTTAAATATTACATAACATTTTAGACAAGCAACCATAGTTATCAGACAGTACGTGCAAGTTCATTAAACCATATCATATTTGCTAAGTTGAGTCTTGCCCACTTTGAGGTCAATGAAAAAAAAGGTCATTAACTTTCATTTTTGATACTCTTCCTGTATAAGAGAAATTTTAGGTCAGAGTCATGTGCCCAAAAGTACAAATTTGGCACTTTAGAGAAGCCCAGTGGACACAAACTATGATTAAATAGGAAGTTTATAGTACTGTTTTAGTAAACAGTTCAAGATACACTGATTTACTTCAGATAATCACGTTGATAGTTATCTGATAGAACTGGTATGGTCAAAAGACAAAGTGTTTAGACCTTACCTCATCAAAATCAGCAATAATTTCATTTAACAGGCGTAAACATTCCACTCCCATATTATTGCCATCCAGTTCGATGTAGAAATCATTGAAATTTGGGATGGAAGCAAACATCACTCCCACTTGTGAATATGACTGATAATAAAGGTCCTGTAGTTCATAAGCAGATGTAATGTTTATTTTAAAAGATTAATCTAAATTAAACATCATTATTACATTGCTTATTCTACTGCTAAGCAATAGCTAGGACAAAGGCCATCAGTTTTTCTAGAGAGAAAACCAGACTTCTTAAAATAATGTTGAAAGATATCTTCACTTAAGACCACAATAGAAAATTAACACCTAAGGTATTAAAACAATTTAAAACAACGTAGGGGTTATTTTCTGTTTAGACATAGAAGCAGTGAGCTTCTAAAATTTGGACAAAGTTTTAACAATTATAGAACATTTATTGTACAAGAAAAATAATTATGTTTTCTCAATCTTGTTTTATAAGCAAAATAAGAGATGGACCAATTTTATCCTGTGGTCCATAACTGGCCTCACTCCTTCAAGTTTTTCCATGTGTTGTGGTGTCCAATATAATATAATATAATATAATATAATATAATATAATATAATGCTGTTCTGTATGGTAACGTTTCTGCTTAAAAATTTGGAGGGCTCAAAGAAAGCAAAATAACTCTTCTGTGGTTCAAATACTTTGACCCAAAGTCTCAATAACAGTATCATGGATATTACAGCTACTCCAATGCTGAAGGCTTTCAGATGACCAGAAGGACTCTCTTAAGAGAAGACCATAAGGCCTTCTTGAACCAACTTATTGAGCCACTGCAGCCTTTTATGTTAATCTGAGTCTTCCTTAGGCATGTAGAATTCTCTGTTTTTAACTTTAAATAGATGGTTTTGGTAATGGTAGCATACTTTCCAGAACTAGAGTGGTTAGTACATAAAAGTCTGGCAGTTCATGCACTTCACCATTCAGAACCAAACTGACCTCATGCAATACTGTGATAAATTCCAATATCCTACATTGATTGGGAAATGAAAAAAGTGATTTACATGCAGGTACTTGGTTACATTGATACTGAATGACAACTTTCCCTTATTCTGAATTGTATTAAAATTCTTCAGAGAAGGAGGACCATACAGCAAAAGAAATAATCTCAAACTAATTCTTGAATGCAAATTTTTACAAAACTACTATTTTTACATGAGCAAAGTTTTTTCCAAGCCATTATTGAAAACATACAATTGTAAGGTGGCCCAAGCAACACAGGCCCATACAGCACGTATTTAAATTTTATCTTGGTTTACCATATTTCTTGGATTAGACATAAGAAAATGCTGTGCAACATGGGCTGGTAACAGGTTGAAAAGAATTCTTTTATTATCCAGCTTGACTCTCTCCATATCATCTCTCTCTTCTTCTGCCTGTTGGAATAGAGGAGAAGAAAAACCTTTACAAAAAAACAACACTTAGCTGAGCCTATTTATATTTATTCATCCTTTGGAATTAAAATGAACAAAATGTAGAGTAGCAATCTAGATTGAGAACAGTTCTCCTGTACCATGCTTCTACATTAGGCAAAATCCCTTTAAATCCTTAGTAAGGTAATATCTCTCAGCTGTTTTCAGTGTTTGATCAGCTGAGTGTATTGGTATCTTCTATAGTTCTCTGTTCTTTTAAATAGAAATTTGATATGTTTACAGAGTAAATCAGAATAATCCCACTTAAATCACATTGGCATTGGAGGCCAATTACTTCCCAGGTAGTTCAATACAGTGACAGCAGTATTTGATCCATCTTTCAGACAAAAGAAGCCAATGAGAATCTCCAGTGTTTAAAGCAAACCTATGCACTTTGCAGTAAAATTGAAACAAATCTGATAAGACTATAGATTTAACAGAGAAAAAGAATTTAAAATTGAGCATCCTTAAGAATGATGTACAAATTAAAAAAAGTAATATAAAAATAGTTAACATTTCTAGAGAATGTTTTAGTTATGCTGGTGTTTGTCATGAAAATATATATAGTTCCTTCACAACAGAAATTCTGTTATTGATGTGAATGGCAGCATTCAGAATTAGTGTGAGTCATATAGGAGGAAATTATTCTAAAAATCAGACCCCTTATTTGAAAAATATTGAATATCTAGGAATCTCATTTGGGACTTCTAGGTTTGCAAATTCCAGCCTAGTCTTTCATAGATTCATGTGCAAAATTACTTTACTGGCATTTGCTCCTTGTTCTTAGAGTGACTTTTGGCCTCACACTGATTTCAATTAGAAAACACTTGATCAGTATTATATTCATCTCACAGAAATCATAGCTTAGTCTTTGTTCCTCAATCACACACACAAATAATCTACTGTGATCCCAATGTGATTTTGTTTATGTAATTACAGTCAGTAGAAGACTGGAAAGCCAGATTCTCAGGCATTGTTGAGAAACTCCAGTCACATAAATCATTAATGAACCTGTTCTAATCTTTCTTGTGTCCAATTTATATCTGAAATTTGGTATCCTGATCTATTACAAAGTCCACATAATTTCTTAGTATCCATTCCTATTTAAGTAGGAGAAAACCAGTCACCTTGCTTTTGTATAGTCTAAAAATATTATTTCATGTGAATTTTTTTCCAGGTAGCTAAGTTTTGTTTTCCATGATGAAACTTAGGAAAAAACATTTTTATTCAGGTTACACAGTCTGTTTAGCCTGCAGTTTATTCTGTATTTTAAAATTTCTTTACAAGTAGAAAGAGTTCTGAAAGAGAACTGATTTCATAAACATAAATTCTTTAGGAATTGTTGCCTTTTAAAATAAATTCTCAGCTCCTATTCTAATTTGGGTAATAAGAAACAAACCTGTTCTAGAGGTGAAATATCAGTAAACTTTAAATAGCAATTAAGTTTTGCAAGAAATATACCTGAAGCTTTTATTCTAACTATCTATTTCCTGTTTGTGAGCTGTTTTCTTGACACTTATTTTGCTGTTTAAATTTCACATGCTCTTTTCTTAAAATATCCTTCCCCTATTTGGTGGTATAAGTCTGACTTACTGTTTTCTATAAACATGTGAAATGGCCCCTGGCATTTAGTTTAACTGTTGGAATTTAAATGTTTTAACAGGAAAAATAAAAAGGTTCTTCGGCTGAAAATCCAAACCAAGCTTGCAACTCCATTTTACATCACACTGGAACAAGGAAAATTTTATTCTGACAACAGCAAATAGGTTTGGGAACTGAATTGATGATCTTAATAAAATATCCCTTCTGATCTTCCTTATCCATTCCTCTATTTTTTAAACAAGAAATTTTGTTGTTGCTTTCTTCCTAGGAATGTTAAGGTTCTCATTTAACCTACCAATACAATATGGGCAGAATGCCTTCCTAAAGAACAATACTCTTTTGAGTCAAGGTGTGGAGATTTCTAAGCTCATCAAAAGAATCAAGTAGGTAAGTGGAGTAATCAGTTTGGTGCATTGTATGGATAGTAATGTTGCTCAATCACTGGCAGCTGTTCATTTCTGGTGTGGAAATGTGTGATGAAATCTGCCTTGCCCAACTGTGGACCAAACTCTTCATTTTGGAAGAAATTATTGAAAAGATTCTCCAATACATCCATCATTATGTATGAACCATGACAAAACTTTCAGAGTAAATAACACCCGTGACTAAGAAGTAGAGAACTGAGCTCTTGAGTGAAGAGCTAATGGCTCAAATCAAGCTATCCGAGTCATGTCTGAAGTGGTGGCAAAATCATCTAAGATCAGGGAAAGGCATTAATGATGCCACTGTTGCTAATGATAGAATGCTACATTTTCAACACACCTAACAAGTGTCTCTTCCCTTTTCGCAAAACTGTTAACTACAATTTTGGATCTGAGAGGGTTCAGTTGCCAAAAATGAGATTGTGGGAAAAAGACCTAAAATTAAAGATAACAGTATGGAAAATATAGGGGGAAGTATGGTTGCTGCTCTCTGGATGGAACACAGTCAGCACACCCAAATTTCCATGCATAGTACAATCTAGGGGGAACTAAATGGAGAGTGGAGTGGAGTGGAGTGGAGTGGAGTGGAGTGGAGTGGAGTGGAGTGGAGTGGAGTGGAGTGGAGTGGGACACTGCAACCAGGCTCTGTTGAAACCCTTGGAGAAGAGGGTACTTGGTGGTACTTTTTAGTTAATAGGCCACGCAGCAGCTGGAAGCTTAGGGAGATAAAGGAAGGTGTCCTGCTATTGAATCAGCAGCTATGGCACAATTACCCTCCTTGGATTGACATGTATCCCTATCCTAAGGTTATGTCAGATGCTACACCGATATTATCTGCCTCCAAAGCATGACCACCCCTCACTGAGTAATATGTATGACTAATGTCACTCAGGCTTTGCATAAATGTAAAGAAGAATTAAGAAAGGAGAGAAGACTCCATTGTAACTGCTGGGCTTAGGTGGTAGGCTGAACCTCTCTTCTCCCCCATATGGACACCTATGGGGTAAGAAGTGTACTCTAGTGAAGTGAACTGCACTCCGATCTAGCAGACCACTCCATGAAGGGTGCCCATGGCCGGAGGTGATGGCAGACTGCTTAAGCAACAGGATCGCAGCTTTCCTGAGCCATGGGCAGACTAATCAAACACTAAGGGTTTGAGAAAATCTTCATTTTCACATGAAAAACTCCTAACATCATGGGAAGTCCTTGAATAATATCATGATAATTCTGTGATTCATGGTGGGTAATGATAGGAAACCCAAATTAGAGGCAAAATATGCTAACAGAAGAACAAGGAGAGTGCTCTTACTTTTTTGTTCCATGAACTATTTGAGGCCAAGCACCTCCTAGCTAAAAGAGAGAGAGAGGAGTACACTCTCTCCATCTGTTCTGGGAGAAATTTGTGCTGATAATACTCAGGTGGGGCAGTGCAGTGTCCTGAAAACTAAGATGTATTAGCCCTGCCTGATCTAGCTCCAGAACTAGAAGCAAAACATTCATGGAATTAGCATAGCATTCCTTCTGATTTATTTTCTCATGCTGAAAAGCAAAAGCATATTATCTTAGACCACACACTGGGTCAATACTGCTGTATTGTTCCTGGTACCCAACATGGAGTCTCTGCATGGACTGCACTTAAACCATCCACATACTATGCCTAACATCCTGCTTTATTATTGAAGTAATATGTTAGGAATATGAACTGAAGTGTGCCTTCTCTGCTACTACTGCACAGAGCTTGAGTATCTATTCTCTTGCCTTGCACTCTTCCCTAAGACAGCTCTCATTTATTCAATTCCTCAGGAGCTGCTTGGGGAAAGAGGAAATGTCTTCTTGCATCTCTCACAAGGGAAGATAAAGGAGGGAAGGTGAAGTAAAAAAAGACTTTGGTCATATTCAAGAGTGAGGACTCTGAAACTATCCCATCAAAGAGATAATATAGGAGGGAAGTAAGCCAATTACTGGTATTTTCTGGACCTTTTCCTAGCTTCCTGCTTTCTGCCTTTCAGGGAAGTGCAATGAAAACTGTCCTTCCTCCTTGTCACTCATGAGCTTCTAATGCCTACTCTTGAGCAGCTGAGATTAGAGGATGCATAGGCATCATTCTTTCTCAGGAAAAACAGACACTAGGAAAAGAGAAGGAGTACTTGGGGCTGAAAGATTAAAATAGCACAGATCAGAGGCATTTACATTCCTGGTGGGAATATTATCCAAACAGCTAAATGGCATTTAAACCTTCATCTATTTGACCCTATTCCCATTGGTTAATTAAGGAAAGCTGACAGGATGATATTTATGCAATAGCTACTAGCTCAAAAAACAAGACAGATTATTGTGAAAATAAACAAGAAAGAAAGTGCATTGGCATGACCAATATAATTTTTCACATTCTGCTGTTCGCTTATACCTATTTGGTATTTGTGGCAGCTAGGTCATTTTGTGGAACCCAACTGTATTTGCAGAGCTGCAGTATTTAAAAGCAGGCTTTATTTCTGCACTGGAAATGGTGACAGAATTTAAAATATTTTTATTACTATGACTTTTTATATCAATCTAACTAACATCTACTGCATTTTACATAGTTACACATGATCCTACAGCTGTTACAATGTTGGTAAGTGGTTACCCATCCTCTGTCTGGGAAGTGGTCTGAACAGTTTTATCACCTGACAGTTTAATAAAAATGCTGTAGAATGGTCACTGACTAAATAGATACCACATGAGAATACAGTTTCAAGATTCAGTTAAAAAGAAGCTGAGCACCAATGCCATGAGAATCTCTTTTTTTGCGCCTGAAGATGGCACTACATCCACAGGGAACAAACACATCACACTACATTTGTAGCACCAGGTTTTTGAGTGGAAGTGCTAAGACACCTGGTGGGTCTTGCCTGTAGGCTGTAAAATTCTTATTTCTTGTGAGTGTAATGGGCTAGAAAAGACAGCAGAATGATATTCTGGTATTCCTTAAAGAATGCACCAATTGAATGTATCAAATGAAGTCATATAATTGTATTATTCTTGTTTTCCTCCCATGACAAATCCTAGGTGAGTGAGCAACTACATTTTTTGGTAGTTTTAGGATCTTCCTGAATTCCTTACTTTTTTTTCCCCTCCCAGTTCTCTTAAATAATTTGCATAATAAAAAAGTGATTATCAGTCACAAATAAGTAAAATCTCCTATATTTGCTATTCATAGTTATTGTCATATGACAAACAGAGAGTTACACAATAATATTATGCAGAAAATGAAATTCTCCTCCCACTGACTATTAAAAATAGCAAGAAAACAACCAACAGATATTTTCTGAAAATACTGTGATATTCAGAAAAGTTAAATCTGGCACAGAAAAAAAAAAAATTAGCAAATCAACAAGAGACTATAACACTACTGATTGGTGAACAGAAGGTACAAATATAAATGTTTTAACAACATATCATCCATAAAAAAGTATTTTTCCATACAATGTACATAAATTCTACTGTATTATCACTGTTCTGATAATGCAGCCTAGATGAGTGGAAGTCGGATTAACTTGTCTTGAAACTGTGTAATTTTTCTTAATCAGTTTTTCTTGTTTGAAACTGCTCTTCTTCAATGTACTTTTTTTCCCCTGATGGGGTGAAAAAAAATGTGTTGAATTATGTTTTCCTCAGACCTTAGCACAGACCACTGGATATGTATCTATGTATTCCTATGATTAGTTTTGGGGTACTTTCACGGTTTAAAGTATAATTTAGTAGTACTGGACTGTTGTTCATGATGCAATAAAAGAAGTTATCTATGAAATCCTTTTTATTACAGTTTATGCCACAAGTGCTTTTGTTCATCTGAGAACATTTTTTACAGGATTAGCCCAATAATGAATGTTACTAAAAGTATGCAAACAAAGTGCTTGAAGCTTCCAGAAATTTGTCTGAAATTCCCCCAGATGTGAGCCAGCAATTGAAAAGCTTCCTAAAATGACAGGAATATCTTCACACAGCAGGGACTGGCTACTAGAAGATGTAAATCTACATTTAGCATTTGGTTCATTCAATTCAGTGTTTGGACAAAGAAACAGCACACTCACTTTGCAAAACAGAAAATCTCCATAGATCCTGTGCACTAAGTCAATGGTCTTTCTAAAACTTCTGTTACCAGAAATATAACCAAGTTAAGCCAACATGGTTTAACAGTAAGTAGTACTATGGCTGTAGAGAAACATGACCAAGACTGCTTTTAGCCTTATAGAAGGCTCCTGCAGTGCAGCAGCTACAGAAAACTGGCTCTTATTTGTCACCTCTTAAAGGCTGCTGAACAATTAGTGGCCTGGAGTTTTCTAACTGCTCAAAGGCAGCTTTAACATATAGATATTTCTAATAAACAGTGTTCCCTGAACCTAGCAAGTTCAAAGACCATGTTCTGGGGTTTTTTGGTTTTTTTTGCTTATTCATTTGAATGGGTAAGCAAAAGAACAACTTCTGTAACATCCATCATGGACAGTACTCCTGGTTGTTATGACAATTAGACCTTGGACTCAGTATCATTTACAACCAATGCACAGAGTGGAAAGCGGAACAGCATTTCTTTTAATGTGTTATCCACTATTACTTACTGTACAGAGAATAGATCTTCCACTTGGAATGGAGAAGATGAAAGGTATATGCCTAGATAATCTAAGAGGCCAAGAATATAATCATTGAAATCATAATAATTTGAAATCAGCATACTGATTTCAAAGAATGCTAGTTATGTTGATCCCTAAATTCTGAATTTTCTACCTAAACGGATTTTTTCCTTTCTCATTATTATCACACAAACCTCACACACAAGGTGGCACCACATACATCTCTGATTTACAATTGAAAAGATCTGAAAATGGCATTTGGTTTTCTCAGATGAAAAACACTTTTTGAAATGGCACCTGAAAATGCCAGTGGACAATCCTGAAATTTCACGTCTCTTGTCTCCTCTTACTGTCCCTCGGAGAAAGTGCACAATGGTTTTAACAATAGTGATGATGACTAGGTATTTTTATGTAACTTGTCTCTAAGAAAACAGAAAAAGTCCATATTTCTTCCTTTACCACTGTCCAAGTCCAGGTCTGGTCTTTCATTAGAAAACCATGCCATACTCCTGTACTCCAATTTTTTTAACTGATTAATTGCTAATTAAAAGCTAACTTAAAACTAAGAATCATTAAGCAGTACTTCCATTAGGGATTCACAATTTGCCATGCAAGTTGCAGTTGCTGAAATGATGAAAAGTATTTAAGATGCTGGAACTCTCTCTTGTTCCACTGAAAGGTCACAGGATAGCAGAAACTGGTACATTACTGCACTGCTACTCTATTTCAGGGCTAGGAATAACATACAGAAGGTTTTGTATTAATAGATCAGATGGCACTCACATACTTCCACTATGTGCCAACCCATATCAAATTAGAACCATCCATCAAGGCAGGTGCTGAACTGAATTTCAAAATCAGGCAATCTTTTTTTTCCATCTGCAAATTGTATTTGGCACCACAGCAAAGAGAAACTAGTAACAGTTTATCCAAGACAACCTTCTGAGGCTAACATTCACAGCAGTTATCAATACTACAGGTCATGGGACAAAAATTAAATTGAATGATTACACTCAGTTGAACTGTACAGAGTTGAGAGAAATTATAGAACAAGATAATCTTAAAGCATAAAAAAAGGGAACACAGTCTTGGACATCAAGTCAAACAAAAAATCCCCCCACAGCTTAACTGCTAGATGGAAAAACTTTTCAAGCAGAAGACAATAGAACTAAGTCATAACTGATTTCTCCATTTTATGTAATACAGTGGAGCCAGGGATATGTTCCAGTCAACCAGTAACCCATGTGTTCCAGTCTTATTATGTTATGTGTAAAAGCAAGCACTATAATGATTTAAATGGTCCTCTTGACAAAATAATTAACAGGGTGCAGGTGAGAACAGGTGTGTAAGTTTGGAAAACTTCCAAATTCCACCAAATAAACTTACATATTCAACTTTCTCCTTCCCTTGGGGGCCAGTTTAAAACACTTTGGAGGTGGGAATTAGACTGCTGAGAGGTGTGACAGGAGGTAGACATATCCTGATGACCATGTTATGGCTAATATAATTTCTATAGGTTTTTGCTGGGTCTATTATAGTTAGGAAACATATTTTCAAAAATGGTCCCTGCACTTGGTATCTAAATAAATTTCTGATCTCCCTCTGGGAAAGAGTTCCATAGTTTCTTTTTATAATAAAGGTTTCAATATTTCATTTTATCAGTTTTAGCTGCTTCTTTTCAGTTTACCTGAATATTTACCTGATTTACTTTCACTCCTTTTTGTAATATAAGATAAAAATTCCCATGGATTTAATTTCTTTATCTCAAATTTATATTGTTAACAGTTTATTCCTAATGCATCTTAGATATAAATATATTGTTTGACTAATGATATACTGGAGCAACTGCTAAGAAACAAGAAAAATCACTTCTCCAGGAAAAATGAATTGTATAGATCTGTGGAAAGAAAGCTGTAAAATAATCTTTCACTGTGAACCCCAAAAGACATGAAAAAGTTTGTGTCTGAGTCCAAGTAATTTGTCCTGAAAGTATTTGAAAACCAATTTAAAAAGTCAGACAATATTTTGTGTGCATGGATACTATGAAGTCCTGTGATTTACCTGCACTGCCCAGAGGTAGTCCAGACGCAGTTTCAAGTCCACCTGTCTTGAATGCAGTGCTAAAGCACAAGAAAATAGCAAAATAGCTAGTATTGGTTCATAGCCACGCATGTAAAAGGAGCCGCCCCTTAAAAAGACGAAGAAAATAAATGTGTTATTCCAGGTCTAATACCTAACACTGCACATTTAATATCAGATCCTTAGTTTAGAACACATGGGTACCTCCTAATCACTAGGCTCATCTGGGCAGGGAGATGGGTGAGAGTACATCTGACCACTGCATCACACCAACATGCAACTCTTGAGGATTTTTAGATGCTATGCATTATTGTAATGTGTGTGCATGTTTTTAATTAGAAAATATAAAAACATTGAAAAGCTCAAAAGCTTTATTGAAATCGCGATTGATTGAGGGCTGCTGAAATATGGCAGTTAAGTTTTTAACTGTGTTTTTCTATTCCATAGGATAGCTAGACTGCAGAGTGTTCAGCTGGGGTGCATTAGTATAAAACTACAGAACAATGGGGCAACAGTTGCCAGCTCCCAAAAGCTGCTCCCCTGTTGATGGATGTTACTAGGTCCTACAACTGTTGGGGAAAGGATGACTGATGTGTTTCTTATGCTCTACTCCTAGGCAGCACTGAACACTAGAGGACAATTCAGAAATAAGTAGTCAATGTGTGGCTATCTATAGAAAATTACCCGTTGCTTAATTTTGCAAGATACCTACCCCACTGCTTTTCTGTAACCACTGAGTTCCAGAATAACTATGTACAAAATTGTAACAAAAAGCAGGAGAATAATTTTTGGCAAGGAAGATACACGTAGAAATATTGCCAAGGTGAGAGTCCCCACTACACAGGAAAGGAAAGCATAGTGGGCTGTGTCACATGGAAGTTCATTCATTGTTTTATTTGTTCCACCAGGAGAAATTATAACTATTGAGCTGCTGGAATTGGTATTCCAAACCCAAGGCATGCAGCCAACCTAGAAAAGACAGGAGAGGTGAGAAGGGAAGAATGTTAAATATGAAATAAACAGAAATGTGGTTGCTATGGAGGCTGACTGTAGTTCATTGCTAACTGGAAAAAATATGCCTGTGGAGTTCCCACTAAGCTCAATGCTGTATTAAAATCTCCTTTTCCTGCAATGCTCCACTGAGTTTTAGGGGAGAGACACAATTTGTTAATTAGATGCCAATAAGGGCAACCAACTGAAGCGTGGGCTTAGTTGAATAGTATCCCTTTCAGTGTTCAAACCTAAGAGATTCTCAAGCCAGGATATTCCTGCAAAATTAAGGAACTTCAGTTAACATTTTATTTGGCCATGCAGGTGAAAAAGGCTCTTTTACAGAGCACAGAGATAAATTATTGTTTTGCTGACTATGTAAATCACATAAACTTCAATTACTTAAATACAAAATAAAATATTTTATTGAGTGAAAAACTAAACATAACATCTTTTCCCATGTCACAGCTACTTCTGCTGTCACATATGTTTCAAATACAAGGACTCATCTTTAATTACCCCTGTCATTTCATTATCCAAGGAGTTCCATTTCCTTCTTATGCTAGGAAATAAAATTTTTTCATATATCTCTTATGGGAAATTTGGGGAAATCTAACCTGCTTTTCCTAAAGAAAATATCATGTACATATCTCAGAGCTGTTACCCAAGGAAGAGAGGGATTTCTAGCAAATAGTGCAAGTCCCTAGAGCTCCAGTTTTAACTGCAGTCCAACCTTCACCCCTTACAAAGGAAAAGGATAAGAGTTATTATAAGTAGGGGAGAGTGGGATTGTAGTGTGAAATTGATTTAGCAGGCACCATCACATAAGCCCTGCCCTGTACTTAAACATCTCTTTTGAAGTGCATTATAAGACCTTTTTATTTCATCCCAACCACTGACAATGAAATTTTATAGCATGTTGTAAAGTAACTGACATCCTGAAGGGTGATTAAACCATGTATTTTAGAAGGGGTTGTATTAACTTAAAAAGTTGAGATATAATACATAAACAAATGTGAGTTAAACTCATAATAGGTAACACTATGAAATGAGATTGGGAAAGTGAAATGAAAAATCCCTTTTAATAATATTTTGTTCAATATCCTTAAAAATGCTTTCATAAAGTTATCCAAAAACATACACATGCATGAGGGCTTCATCAGTGATCTGGAATTCACTCAGGAAAATATCATCTGTTATACAACCAGTAGTGGAACGTCAACATCTAGCTCTTCTGACAGATGACAATTCTAGAGGCATTACTTTGCAGGAACTAATAATTTCTACTGATTAAACATTTCTACTTAGGTTATAAGTTATTTTTGTTCAGGAATGAATTATGTTCTAAGTTGTAACTGAATGATCATTCCCTTATTGGAGGTCAGAACTTCTGAATTTTAATTTGTTTTCCACTGTTGTTCAGCACTGCCTTAGGGCTTACGATGTCTATTTCTCATTCTCACTAACTTTAAGTGGCAGCAATGGTGCTTGTTTCATTTGGTCAAAGTAAGGGTCAGATCTGGGGAGGCTGATTCACAAAGGTTTTAGCTGTAATAACTTTCATGTTAATTCCAAAGTCAGATACACAGAATTTGCTGAGAAGCTAGCCTGGAATCACTGCCAAGCTCTATGCATTTTGTGCTTATGTCCACCTTAGGAACCATATATGCATCTGTGTGCTATTAGGGCTGTGTGTTACTCACACAGATGATGTTCAGGAATTCCCAGAAATGTCTCAACATCAGCAATTCTTGGTTCCTCTCAGGACATTTGAACCCACAGAAAAGGAACTGTTGGCCCAGTCAGTTCATGGGGATAAGCCAGTTATTGTGTTCTCAGGGCAGGTCCAGGGACAAGTGAATACACAAAATACAAAATACAAAATATGGGGCTCGGCATCTCAGCACTGAAGCTCACGTCTTCTTGGTCAGAACACATTGTCAAATTCCTGCAGAGAAGCATAATTTGAAACATCTGCCTTCTCAGCATTTCCAGTTGTGTTTCATGTGCTATTTTTATGTGGATTCTTTCCTTTGAGTACCCTAACATGTTTAATGCATTACCATTAGCAGCCAAAATGCTAAAGATGAGTGCTAGGAATTGGTCAAGGCAATTGACTGACAAATACTTAGGTGGAAGTTTGAAGACCATTTCAATTGAAGTTGATCATGTTGAACTCTCTGCTAATCTACAGAAAAGGAAGCTCAATTTTCAGAAGTATTGAGCACATTCACTTCAAATAACAAGCTTTTTAGACATTGGATATGAATGGATCATATCAGAAGCACAATGTAAGCACCTCTTCTTTTTACACAAAACTGTCAATATTTTAAGATCTCTCTATCTTTTCTGATCTGCCTGGACTAAAAATATCCCCATTATTACACAGAGGTACCTTCTATAAGTTGTCACATAGAAATAGTTATTTTGACACCATGCCTTGTCTGTCACAAAATATTAGCCATTGAACTAGTAAGCAAGTTGAACATTTAAAAAATGCTTTTCCCATAAAGTACATGACACCAGCAGTCTACATGATGCTAAAGTTTCAAATACAAATTTATATTGAGTTTGAATAGGTATTATCTGTGTAATTTGCTAATGGCTTTGCCATTCCTAATTCAATACATTGTCTCAGGCCAATGAAAATCCCATTTGCAGCAAAGGGGTTTAGTTTTGAAGAAGCATGCTCTGCAAATATGAAGAATAAAACAAATAGGAATTCATCAGATAAGAATATGATATGTATTTAAGGGATCTCACAAGTATGTTATTTAAACACAATGTTAATTTAAGTGAAACTTGATTTAAATACTCACCACACAGCCTTGAGCCACAGAGTATATTAAGATCACAATAAAAATACACAAAATGGTACGAATTTGTATTGTCAGGCACCCTGGAAAACACTAAAAAAGAAAAAAAAAAGTATATATAAAATATTTAAAGTATTTTTAAAGTGGGGTTGTTATTTTTTAGTAGTCTATAAAGAGAAGTGAATAAGGGATACAGAAATTTCACCTGTACTGCAAATTATGAAATTGCAGTTATTGTTGTGGAGTAACTGTTAGTGTCTAAGTGTATTTTAATGGTAATTACAGTTTTGGGGATAATAAATGTAAAACTACTATTGCTATATATTATTTCTCACTATGATTAAAACTCTTAGAAATTTTTAGTTGTATGTCTACTCATGATGCAAATAATATTCTAGGATGGCATTTGATTTTGCTCTCATGGGGAAAGTATCCAAAGCAACTTTTGAGTTGCAAATTTTCAGCTCCTTTGCCTTGCAAATTGTGATCCAAGAGAACATACTTTGATAGCATAGAATTTTGGAATGGTATACGTGTCTTCTGCTAAATAGGCAGGTGAAATACCAGGGTAGTTTTAATTATTGCGACTCATAAAAATATTGAATTTTTCAGAAACAGCAGTAGACAACAAAAATATCTGGTGAAATGGAGTCTTGAAAACGTTTTGTTTATCTCCACTTTTAGCCTGATTCCATTTGTCACACTATTAAGCGTAAGTTCTTGCTGCTATGAAGCCTGTGGCAGAATGTGAGAGAGGAAGGGTAAGTCTGTCAGGCTGCGCACTTTAGGCCTGTTCCAGTCATTCTGATCAACTCTGCTTCCAGGTAAAGCTGCTTCCCTTCCTTTCCTCTTGCACTAAGAATATTTGGGGCTTCTATTATCTACTAGATGTATCTTTCAGACCACAGGACTTCTTCTAGTGACTTCACGGGTCAAGGATACAATCCAAGAAACAGTCAGATTTAAAGTGGGGACTATCCTGTGTTCTTTAAAAGGAGGAAGCTCAGATTTTTCAAGGTTGAATTTCACTTAAGGTTAAATGGAGTGAGCAAACACCTGACTTTTGGATGAAAGTCAACAGTTTTGAAGAAAAGCTGTTCATTTCATGGGTATCACCAGCCTCAAAAACATAGCTTCCAGCAGGTAGCCTAGCAGTCAGAGAAAGACTACTGTAGCCTTCAGAATACAGCAATTACAGAAAAAAAAAAAAGTAAGCATGAATCTACAAATATATTCTAGCTTCTATATAGTTTAAGTCCATGTAAACATAGGTGTGGAGCAATCAATATATCAGTAGTAGAATTGTATTATAGATCTGAGTTAATTTTCTACACCAGTGTAAGTACTAGCATCAATAAAATAGTTTGGGATACCTGGGGTATATCACCTTAAATAAAACTGAGCATATTGAAGAAAAAATAGCTCAAATTATAGGAATCTGAGATTGAAAAGCTGTGTTTCAAGGGAGATAGAGCAATGTTCAAAATTACAGTATGAAAAAAGACTATTTCTGCATTTGTTCATCACTATCATACAGTTCTGATTGGAAGGGACCTCAGGGTGCTCAGAAGTACTGTCTGCCTTGAACCTCAGAGTCTCAGGGCAATTTTTGCAGAGTTGGTTACTCCTCCTGTGTCATTGCACAGCATTGTTTCTTCTTAGGACCTGGACTTTGCAATATACATTCTATAGTTATAAGATTCCTGTTTGTCCATTCTGTTAACCTATCCAGAACCCTCTCAATAATCATCCTGCCAGCTGTACTCACAAAATTGTATTCATATGAAAACATGACGTGAGTATTTGCCATGTCCTCCTCCAGGCTGTTGATAAAAATGCCTGACAGGATAGGATCCAGGATAAACTCCTGTAGTATCGCACTTACACTGGTTTCAAGGTAACCATAAAGTGCTATGCTCTGAATGTGATTATCCCCATAGTATTTTACCCATCAAACTGTCCACTTAACTAGACAGACCAGAATCCTATATACAAGTGAGGTGGAACTTATGTGGTTTTATCCATATAAATAAAATACAAAATAATTTTGCTTGAAGAAAAAATATTTATTCCATTAATTAAGATTGCAACCAAATAAGCTGTCTATTGCTTATTAAAGAGATAATACCCGTGGTTTGAAGATAATGCTGAATGGTTAATAGGGATAAAGCAAAATATGGATTCAAAGATCACATGTCCTGACACATTGCACAGACAATTTTTTTGATCTGTGTAGCACATACATGTTCTAAATGTTGACATGCTAGGCTATTGGGTTAAAATGGTAAACAGACCTTTAAAAGATAAAGTATGAGACATGTCTGAATTAAAATTCTGACACTATTAAGATTTATACTTCTGACTTTATGTCATTCTAAATTATATCGACACTTTTATGATTGCATAGAATTTTGGGCTTCATTTTCTTTATTTGAGAAATTTTTATTAACTAAATAAGTAGTGTCAAATTACCAAAATTTTAGGTAATGAGTACAGTAAAATATTATTAACGTACTTCTATGAGTGAGGTATTTAATGCTAAAGCATGGAGAAGCTAAGTCACTTGCACAGTGTAAAAGAGCAAGTCAGTGCCATAAAACTGATTAAAATAGGGGAATGATTGTTTTACAATTGTATATCCATTATCCACATAATATTAATTTTAATTATTATAAGACTTTTTTGCCATAAAGCTTTAAATTGTGATATTTTAAGGTTTTATATTTCTTTATTTTTCTAATGCTGGATTTGATCCTGTATAGTATTGAATCTCTGGAGGAACCTGGAATAAATACAAATTTTCTTGACTGACAAAACAGATGGAATACTTCTTATGTTTGCACTACCCCCAGGTAAATTGTATAAAGAGAAGTAACTTGCTACAAACTTAGTCTGCATTTCTACGATCTATACAGAGAAGAACAGATGATAAACTACTCTGCCCTAATAAAAAAAAGAGATCATCAAAGTTACTCACAAAAAATTTTGTAAGTTCATAAATAAGGTTCTTTTCAGCACCTGATACTTGGCTGATATACTATTTATGTTCCCATGAAAACACATGCTTTTCTTCTGCCAAAGGACACTTTTTAAAACTAAAATTAGTGTGTCCAAATCAGAAAAGCTCATTAAATGAGTAGGCGTTTTTTCCTGATATTTGTCTGAAAAGACTGAATTTATATTAATCCAGTAGAGATTTCTTTCATCAGAAAATTAGCCTGTAGATGTTGTATTCTGGTCTGGCATACCTATTTCTCCCCTAAAACAACCAAATGTCCTTCTGCATCATTACTCTTGTGAAAATATAATGCAGGAGAATTAATCATTACTGAAGGTTTTTAAAAGGCCAAGGATTGTGTGTGTGCAAAACATTGTGCTTCACCATCAAAACAGCTGCTGTTTTGACAGGAAAAATTTTGAAAACAGAGGGGATGTTAGCAGGACTTTACACCCAGACCAGCTGGAATGAAAGGGAGGACTATTGTGCTGTGTAGTCAGAAAGGAGTAAAAGTCAGGTTAAAGCAGTTGATTTAAACACAGTATTTAGTGGTAGGTGCTCAGGGAAGATTTAGTAAAAAACAAAGGTTAGAATTAATGGCACTGAATGCTACACTGCTGTAACGATTACTCATGTAAACAGTCTACTTTCAGATGATTGGTCTTTGGTTTTCAAGTGTCTAATACATTACTTAATAAGGAACTTTAAACACATAAATTTCAGACTCTATGAATCTGTGAAGCATACACTGATGGCTTCATATTCCAAAGAACAAACATATCATGGACACCAAAGGGAAGAATAGTCACAAAATCTTAAATCACTTACTTGTACTCGTGTGACATGTAGGTACATAATACAAGCCACTAGGAAGCATATGCAAAACACCAGGAGAACAAGAACTACGGTACTCCTAGAATCAAAACACAATAGAAGTAATGCAATGCAACTCAGTAACATGTGAGAACAAACTACAGGTAGGGGTCCTTCTAAAACAGTATTTTATAAATGGTGGAGGATGTCCTCCTCAACCTTGCTGTTATACTAACCATCACAGTGCAAATTAAGCAGTGATGTCCACTGCTCTCAAAACTATGAAATTAGTAAATGCTCTTGTAAATGGTCCCCGCTCTGATGACAGAAGGAAGATCAAAGAACCTCAAAAATTCAAATGTATGGTAGTCAAGAGAGACACTTTCTAATTGTAGGCTAGTGCAGAATATTCAGCATGATGTCTTCCAAGGAGAGTGTGTAACTCAATTACTTGGCCTTGGCAGTGATGTTAACAGTTACCAGATACTTTTTCTGTCTCATTCCTCTTTCTCAAAGATTCCGAAATCAATGGTCATCCAATTTGGACACTTAGCAAGTCAAATAAAATCAGAGAAACCTGTCTTTTAATGAAACAGAACAACTCCCTCATTTTGAGTCTTCCTAAATGGTCAGACAAATCTTATGTTTCAAAAAGATGATTTAATAATTCTTAAATTCTTAATCTTCCCTCTTCTGATCTATCAAAATAGGCTTGTTCTTAATGAGAAGAGTGGTGCAAACCAAGAACTTTCTCCAGAAAACTTCTTTTGGAAAAGTACCTTATGGATGTAAGCAAGCTGACAGAAATTAGTCCACCAGTGTGGGTGCATTTGATTTCTGCTCAGGGACAGCCTGGTCGCATGCCAGGGCTGTATGACAGCAGCATAACATGATCTTCACACCTTCTTTTCTTACTTGTGAGGACAAACCAGTCAGTCCACAAGCCATGTGAACAATGGATTCAGGCAGTTATGTATCTGTGCCCTTAACGATTACAGGAAAAAGATTGTTTTCTAGCAGCAGAAGTGTGAAATTCTCCTGTAGAGTTTCTAACTATTTGACTTTGTTTCAAATTAATGTAACAGTCTGTACTGATACAGGAACTGGAAGAATTGTGTGGTGTACTATGTACTTCCCCAGAATGGGAAGGTGACTCTGGGTACTTTTAGTGTGGACTCTGAATACAAGTACTAATCAAGGCAGGATCTCATGCCTTTAGAGGTTTCCCTTGCATCCAGGATGCTAGAAAAGAACGCAGGGGACATGTCTGCAACAACATCTTGTAACGTAGCAATAGCTGACAACTGACAGTAGTGCTGAGTGGCACCCTGACAGACATTCAGGTTGGCATCTAAAAAGGGCTACATTGCTTTTTTGAAAAGTAAACACAGAATTGGACATTAGAAGGGTTCCTAGTCAGGGCTTTTAGTGGCTACACTGCATATGTGCCTCCCTAATTGGACAGCTTAGGTTGACAGGAACGTAGCCTTACTTTGACCACCTCCATCTGGGAATAGAAAATGTGTCTTTAGTTGAGAAGCTGTTTTGCTCAAAAGATGATAAGAATTGTGAGAATAGCAAGTCTATTGACTTTCCTACAACATTTTCTTGTCTAGATGGCCAACCTCCTCCTTGAAATATATATATATATATATAACTTCTCCCATTAGGGTAGCATATTACAAGCCTTGTATTGGCTTTTGCATTCTCTTGCCACACGTATAACTACTTTGGCAATCTAAATAGCAGCTTAAAGCTCCAAACTTGGGAAAGTGGAGAATTTTTTTTCCTATACTTCCAAAGTTTTAATTTAGCTCATGTTTGCATCTGTGTCACAGCAAGGGAAGAGCCCAAGAATAATTTGGCTATATGAAGCCACCACTCAGGCACTGGAAGAAAGAACTTAGGAGCATTCAGTGGGTGGCTTTTTTAACTAACCCAGTCCATCTTCATTATGTTTTGTGGTGATATTCTTCTGGAGCTTTTGTGTCAGATCACTACTTAAACTGAAGCTCTGCCCATCTGTTTTAAAGTGACAGTAGTTTTTTGAAAGGCTATTATATGATTCTTAGAAATTCAGTCTAGTTTCAACTACACTAATACACTTTGTTTCTATTTGTTCAAAACTGCTATGTACTGCAGCTGTGGCTTATTGAAGAAGAAGGTGAAAGACTTCTTAATCATGCTCCAATTAGTCAGCAGAGTCATTAGTCTGGAAATGGTGTAAATGATGACTAAGTTACTTTGAATTCTTTAGATGAAAAGTACTATATTACAAATTAGTGTTTCTATTTTATTAACATGAATAAACTTTTTCAATCTTTCAACTAGAAATAATAGAATATAGAAGTATTATTCTAACGGGAGATTTGTGAATAGAAAGGACCATAATTTAAATGGAATTTTCAAAAGCATTATCCTGTAGCTAGTTCTATTCCCCCTGAAGTAGTTATGAAAGTGAGTAAATTTCATTCTTAATGCTTTGATATTCTAATCTGAAAAAAGTTCATTATTCATAATTTTTATACCTTATACACAATTCTATCTACCTCTATATTTGAAAGGGGTCTAATTATTTTTTATTTAGTAAGCACTCACATAGAACTGACAAAATCTGAGGTAATCACTAACTAATCACTCAACAATAGGCATAGGACACCTCCTAAACACACCACTTGGTTATGTTTACTTAAGTGCAGTCAAGGTTGGACTACAAGTTGTATGTGCAAAGCCAAAATACACACTAGGCAGTTTATGTAGGGATAGTGTTGATACCAAAAACTTCAATGAATGCTATAAATGCAGGCCTCAATGCAGCTGGATGGGTACTTTCAGTTCCCATTAAACTCTGCAGGGTTTTATCTCTGTTGCTATCAATACCAGTACTTAATCCAAAGTAGCACAAACACATTTAGAAAAGCTGCTGTAACACCTTTCTTTGTAATGCAGAAATACTTTAAATAAGTTAAAAATAACCACTAAATTTTAAATAAACACTGAAATATATCTTTTTCCTCTGAGTGCATGCTACTACAAAATAAAAAAAAATAGTGAAAAGTATCTTCTGTGGACAAATTAAAGAGATAACAATTAGACTGAGAGGCATACTAACAGAGACTCTCCCATGTGAAGTCCCCATTACTGTTCCAAAGACTTTAATTTTTGACCTGTGCAGGATGTCTGAGGATGTTCCACTTCGAGTTATGATGGCAAAAGACAGAAACTTACTGTGGTATTATTAGAAGGTAGACAAGGCCAAATAAGGCAGCTAGAATTAGTGAGAGAACTACAGCACTGGTGAAGTACTCATCCTGAAGCTGGTGGTACTGTTAAAGAAAGGAAGAAGTGAAGACAGTAAATATTTCATGTATACCAAGACACCTACACTTGTCCATTCTCAGTAAGAAAGAACTGTATCCTAAAATAAAACAAGCCCCTGCTTAGTTAAAAACATGATGGCTTAATTTGCACTGAAAAAACAGATGACGGAAGTCTACATAAGATTTTCCTTGACAGACTTCTCTTTCACCTTGTAACTAGTCAAAATGGGTTTAGGCTCAGATATAAGTTTATCTTTTTGAGAAAAAAAATCAGCCACTTTGAACTAGGAGGGGGTGGCCCTCCTTCTGTTTACTCATCATGATAAAAGGCCATAGACTCCTTGCTGCTGCTTTCAAGTTCTTTCACTTCAGCTGCTCAGGACAGGACTCTAATGAGTGGACTTGGAGGCAGCTGCTAATGAGATACATGTGCTCAGTTTGGAGCAGCTACTGTTCCTGATTCCACTGAGCTACAGTATTAATGAGAGAAAGTTTCCAGGGGTTGAAACACAAAAGTGTTGTCTCAGAAAGACCCAAAGTTCAATGTCATTTACAGCAGACTTTTTATTTTGAAACAAAAAAGTTACAGCCTAATAATAAATTACTTTGGAAACTTGAACACAAAATTTATACTTTAAACCTTAAAAAATTTGGATCCAGTATGGCACACAGCCTTCTAACTTGAAGCAGTAGTGACCTGAAATCTTAGACTATATAGTGACTTACAGTGGAAAAATAAATATTACTGCCAAGTTAATGCAAAACCATACTACTTTTGTTTTTTCAAACACATAAAGTAAAGGTTGTAAATACAAATAATTTGTATTCACAAAAAATACTCCTACAAGGTAGGAACAATTGTTTCCTGATATGCATGTTTGTATGGTCTGAGTAAATCCCCTGCTTTCAGCACTGCCACACTGGTATAATATTGCAACCTTGTCCAGAGATTTAATGTTTGGGTTTTTTTTTTTTTGTTTGTTTGTTCTTTGGTTTTTTTTTATATTTTCTAGAATTTCTGGATCAATACTTACCAGGCTACCTATACATCTTGTCAATAAGACTTCTCCAAAGCAGATGAGTGAGTAGGCAGACACATTGCAATGAGACAGCATTAAACAAGTGACTCAGACAGTTTGGAGAGCAAAAAGAAAGACCAAAACACAGGATATATAACACGGGGTAGGATACTGACAAGTAGGACAATATCTATCATGGCAATGGTGCCCTGAATGGGGAATAATGAGCATTGACTCCATGATTGCACAAGGCTGATCAATTGCTTTATTAAGCTATACTTTATTATACTATACTCTTAGAAACTCGTAACCCTTACAAGACTGTCCAGTACAGCTTACCCTAATTAGTCAATCAATCCAAACATCATACAGTCTCCAATTAAGAAATCACCCTTTGGTAAACAATCTCCATAACACATTCCACATGTGCACAACAGGTGTAGCAAATGGAGATAAGAACTGTTTCTCATTCTCTACCTGAACTTTCTCACAGCTTTTCACAACTTCCCAGGAAAATCCTGGGAGAGAACTATGTCTCTCTCTGTACAGAGGATATGTGATTACCACAAATACCAATCTTTCTTTTAATCCCCTTCAAGTGTTTCCATAGAAGGTAGAAATAATGTCACCCTCTAAACTGAGAAACAGTCCAGTGGAGTATTTAAAGATAGTGAGTAGAATTTAAACATTGCATGAAACCCGAACAAAAACCACAGTGCTAATTGGCATATGGTCAGTGAAATCAGTAAAAAAAATTTTAAACTCCCTTACTTTTTTTTCACGTTCAATTTGCTTATACTTCAAGGTAATGAAATTCAAGTCAGCCATCTCAGACTCAGTTTGCCGGGCCTCTATCAAGCGGCTGATATATCTGTTCACTCGAGTTCCTGGAGTGCTGTATACAATATTGTTAGAAAAAGAGGAACGATTCCTGAGTTTTTCAGAGGCTGTCCTTAATGCTCTCCTCTGTAATATGGATAAAGAAAGAAGCACAGATTTTATTAGCACTGAGATTTTGCATTGCTGTTCATATTACCTCAAGCTCACAGAGAGCATGGGGAATTCATAAAGCAAGAAACTACTAATAGAAAATAATAGAGTTCTTATCTCTGTGTGAATGTCACCTTTTTAAAATTCCTTACCTGAAATCCTGATATCATTCAAATCAAAGAGAAAACTCCCACTTCATTCCAAGATTTTAATCCGGAAATTCTTTTCACATATGGCCCTGATACTCCTCTGCCACTGAGGGAATAATCAGTTTGTACCCAGTAGGGTTATTTTACCTTGATAAATGGTTTTATATTGGTTTGTTTTCTTGACAGAGGACATGGAGCTCTGGACATCTTGAAGACAAGATAACCAGGCTCTTCATAACACAAGAAAAGTCCTACTGTCTAGGTAACAATACATGTTTCAAAAAGATAGTTTTACCTTAAAGTCTTGGACAATGACCACCTGTGACTACAGAGGGTCTGAAATCTCAAGTGTGATCTTTAACTTGCCCAACTGGCTCTCTTGTTAAGATCTCTTGAGTATTCCTCAAGTGACTTGCAGATCCAGATGGAGCCATCCAACAAATTATCAAAACTAAACTAACTGCCTAACTGGCTCCTCCAAGGCTGAGATAGCACAACTATAAGATAATTATTCATAGTCCTTTCCAGTGGAAAAGATTTTTCACAGAGTATATCTGAAGGGATTTTAAACAAGCTGCCTCACTTTTCACAGAGAGCACTCAGGAGACAGTGAGCAGTATCTCAGCCACACTGGTGGCAACCTCCAGTTGAGGGCACTTTAATCTAAACCATTATGGCTAGATCTGTTCTGTGACTGGACAGGGGTCAAGCCAACTTCCCAGAACAGTTTTGACAACAAAGCTCAGGCAAGTTCTACTATTTCTGTAAAGTTAAAGGAATATTTTTTTATCTAGCATCTGGAGAGTTCAAGACAGTTCAAAACATTATGAAATAAGAAGTCTACACAGGATATAATAAGTAGAGTATGTCAGAAGGATGTTAAAGAAGAAAACAAAATTTCTCTCTTCAGAATACTCAGTCCTAAATACCCACTCTAGAGGCTATACAACAACATATCCTTTTAATCCAGATGGCTAAAATGATGGTGATCACTATCTAAGTAATCTTGCAGGAATAGCAGTTTCCTTTTTAATTTCACAAGAAATTCTTAGGAGTACCTCATCAGTGAACAAATTGTGAACTCTTGCAGTTCATTACCTTACATAGCTGCTTATTATTATTATATTATATCTAAATCCTTATAAATAGTGGGAAAGGTTATCTGCTGACTGATACCTTAGTTTTCTGTTTGTTAAGAAAAATGGACCCCAGCAAAGATAAAGTAACTTTTCAAGTCTTGCTTTGCTGGCTTTATATGTAGAGAGGAAGCTACACCAGCAGTAAACAATTAAAAGGTTACATTTTTCTTCAAGCTATCAGATCCCATTACCTGGTATATTGTCTTTTGGTGTAAGAGCTAATTGTTTCAACATGAAAACTAATCTTAGGCACATACATTGATTAGAGAGCTTAAATTACCAGCCAAACAACTATTTTCAGTGTTTCTAAACTGAGAGAAATTTGTTTTCTTCAAGAAACATTTCTATCAGAAATTTGTAAGGAAATTGAGTGCTTTTAGGAAAATAATAGAAACAGGAATTTCTGTGTCAGAAATATACGATTTTGCTCTCAATAAATTAAAATTTGTTAACATATGTATTACATTAGTTGCAGCAGAAATACATCTTCAAGAATTTTTTACAATTCAAATTTAAGCCTATAGTATAACAACAGGGGGGAGGAAAACAGTATTTAAATAAATGTTTCTTTGCATCAAAACCTGAAATGAGGGTAGATGACTATGGGTATTACTCTGATATATGGAATAAATTATATTATCTCTGCCATTTTGAAACAGAGTTAAAGTTTCTATTCTTAATCAAAAAAGCTGTTTCTTACATATAATTATTTCCTCTCAGTCTCTTATTTTTATCTCTATTATTATTTTGCCACAGTAGATTTACATCATGTCTTACATATGATCAAGATCCAGTATTTATGTTTCTCAGAAATGCACTGGATTCAAAGCCTTTAAAAACCCCACGTGGTTTATTTTATTTACATGATTTGAGTACTGAAAACTCTAAAGAAACCCTACATCGTAGCACAGTGTATTTATATTCATATAATATAATACAAATCCATGATGTATTACATAAAAGTTACAAAAGCCCAGAACAGCAGTTTCTGTTACTGATAGCATTGTAGAACTTCACTGACAATGTTCTGGCATGAAAGAAATTTCAACAGATCACTAACAAATCCACATGGATATTTTCTGTGTATATTACCATATTTATACATACATGTACACAAAACACAATGCAAAGTATTGCATATCCTTCAAAGAATGTGTGGGTTATTTTTTAAAATGCTCAAAGATAACACTAAATTCCAATTGGAAGGCCTTGTACACGGCCAATTTAAAAATCAAATCTGGAGTTTCTGAAAGTCTTCACGGAAACTGTTTTTAAAAGGAACTAATTGAGTTTTTTTCCCTTTTTCTGCAGAGGAAACACAAGCACGTATAAAACTCAAAATATGAAAGTTTGAATGCTTTCTGAAAGTAAGATTTAGACTGAATCTTCAATAAATGAAAAGAAAAGAAAAAAAAATGTGAAGCAATCAGTCAAATTGAATTACTGATTCCAGTGCTCGAATGCTGCCACTTAGTGGTGGAGTGACCTGTGTAATGTTGCCACCTGCTGTCAAAGAAAATGGAATGAGCAACTCTCATGGTTTTTATCCATAAATTTACAGGTAGATTCATATATAGAAAAGAAGCAAACCAGGCTACTAGTATGTGAAGAGTTTTGATTTTTGGAATTACCAGACATCCAAGAAAGCGGAATTTATATTTGTATTAGGGACTTTTATGTTTAGGATTTGTATTATGGACAAAAAAGGGTTTTGGCTAATCAGTTGCCTTTCATATTTCAGAGAACCATCTAGAGAAAAAAAAAATTATTCTGTTGGTTTGCATTTGTCACCATCAACTTGAGACTGGGATGGACAAAAGATGCAAAAGAATATATGTTTGAAAGAATGGAAACAGCCTCAGAAATTCCAGTTCCTGCGAAAAAAGCCCTTGATAGAAGCCACAAGGACACCTATGTTGGCTTTTCCAAGACCAGCTCCAAATTTGAGGGCTTTTATAATTAAATTTGTTTTTTATTTACTGTGGGAATTAGATTTTTCTAGTTCCAGCAGGAACACCACAAGCGTCTTTATCAGTTCATAACATCATCCCCTATGTTCTCAAAGATGGTCTGCTTGATGCAGTCCTGGAATTGATGCCCAAAGACTGCACTTGGCCCACATGGACTACCTTATCATCATCCTCACACGTCATGACGTTGGAGAAAGGGATCTCCGCTTTGAACATCTTGCGACAGTGCATGAGCTGAACAAGCAGATAGCAGACTGTCTTGAACTTCATTCTCTTGGCAGGCTTAATGTCTGAGAGAATCAGTCCAGGAAATATCTGTTGGTCAGAAAAATAATATTTATAACCAAGATATTGCATTCCCATGCAGACATACACACTTGCAGGCATTTGCACCCCCGCCATGGTCAGAAGAAAATAATACTCTAGTCAAGAAGCAATGCTTTTTGATAAACATCTCACATGTGCAAAATTACTTCATCTTTCTTCATCATGAGATGTAAAGAATCTATCAAACAGGCTTTATGTAAACTCATTCTTAACATTTTGGGAACTGTTCTTTTCTTAGAAATGTGAACTATAAAAAAGTGCATTAATGACAGACTCATAAAAGAGGCAATATTTGTATTTCTTTAATATTAAAATAAATTTTTGAAAATGCAGGGAAAATAAGGAGGCAATTAGCATTCTTATTAAATGACGTTAAAAATATAATTTCAGTCTTCTTTGTTCCTTATTTTGTTACTTCAGCCATAGGAAGTTCATTAAAATCTGAAGAGAATAACTTTTGCTTTAAATATATATATACATATATATGCACCTTAGAAGAAGTGTTTGAGGCATTGAGGTTATAACTCACATCTTATTTCTACAAAGCAAGAAGTGTTATACCACACAGAAATACTCTCAGAGGTTTAAGTATAATCTATTCCTTTTACCACAGAGCTCTTTGTTCAGCAAGGACATACATTTCCTTGGTTAATTCTTAAGCATGTATTTAATGACTGCTGACTTTATTAAAGCCCTAGCACATACTCAGATGCTTTCTCAGATGAGGATATATTCTATCCTCAATATTTATACCAAACTTATTCATCCTTCTGGCATGTGGAAAGTGTTAATGAGAAACATGGCGGGACCCCATGCCTCCTCAGTATGGGAATGCAAGCTTGTAAAATTAATTTCTTCTGGATCAACAAAATAAAGAAGCACAGAGGAAATGGTCCTTAGTTTTCCTAGGTACAAAAGACAGAAAAAATCACTTCCAAAAACTTTACTTAAATGCTATTAAAGTCCACAAATGACAATGAGAATTTGCTGTGCATTATTTACAATACTATGATTTACTAGAGAAGTTTCTTCAATGATCAAAGAATGAAGAAAAAACATGAAAGCATTTTTTTAATGCATGTTTTCTTGAACAACTAAATTTAGATGGGCAGGGCAAATGACACTGATTATATTCTGAATGGCATCTCGAATATTGGCTTGTTGTTATGTTTAACACATACAGCCATGCACTTTCTGGAAAATCGAGGTTATACATTATTGAACTTTCAATACCTTGTTTAGTCAGTTACACACTGGCTATGAAACACAATAATGACCACAATGTGGCACTTGTTATTTTTCTCCTAGCAGTCATGTTCTCAACATGCGACGGGCTTCAAATGTGCAAAGGTGCCTAGGTGCTTTATTGTACACTAGAAGACTGGCTGAAGCCAGGTAGCATTACTGCACTGTGTTACACTGCACAGTCAGAAGTTGAAATCTGAAAGGACATTTGTGTATCTAGTGCAGAGTCACTTGTGTAAGGGTAGTTTATCAGTAGCCTGCGTGAAGAGATTCCCAATATGAACCCTTTCTTTCAAGGGCTTTCTGTCAGAAGACTTGCCACTGAATTGCGTAGAAGATACTGTACAAGGATATTCACATACTAATCATCCTTTAGGTATTCCTAAGGACACCAAGTAGATAGTTGTTAGGCTTGAGTATGACAGATATGATCAATTTTTGAGCTACAATTCCCAACAGCTAAAACATACTTTTTGGAGAAGTATTCCACTTACAAATCTTCCTAATATAGCCATAATTCCCCTAGGAGTTCTACATATTTAACAAAGTCTCTCTATCAACACTTTAATACAACAAAAATGAGCAACTTTCTTGAAACTCCCCCCAGTTTTGCATTTAATTTTATTTTCAGAAATTTACATGTAGACGATATCTCAAGAGATCATTAGCTCATTGCTCAAACCTTTCACAGTGGACATGGCATTAAGTCAACAATTTTGATGATTTTAAATAAATTATAATTTTAAATAAATTCAGAGACCCATAAAAACTTCCTGACAGCCTTCATTGTGGAAATGCCACAGTGTAGATGCAAGAGTGGCAAAGAATAGGTAGAGCACCTTAGTAGCAAAAGATCCAAGAAGGCATGATTGTGAAAGGTGATCAAATGTGCATGACTATATCCTCCTACAAGGATTTGAGGTCCTATGAATAGAGAAGAATTTAGACTTTCCTCCATGCAACTTTCTTATAATAGATGTGTTTCTGAGAACAACATCCAACGTGAAAACTTGGAATGGACTCTGAACTGTGGCCCCTGCCACCAACATAACTTTTCTCCAACCACATGTTTTATTCAGTTTCTTGACTTTATCTTTAAATCGGTATGTAGAACAGTTTTAGCTCGTACCATCAACTGGTTTCTTTTAGCTTAGAAATCTTACAAGCAGATAATACATCAACAGTATGCACTCTTTGTGTGTTGGAAATATAGTGAATTTTTCCAGCTTTTTCAGAGTTAAATAGAAATTTCAGCTCAGGTCACTGAAAAAAAAGGAGTAGTGTGAGATCCCCTATGAAAGAAAAACAAGGACAAACTGGAGTGAGTTTAGCAAACGTTCACCAAAACAATTAGGGTTTTCAAATGTATGACATACAAGAAGAACCTGAGGGAATTTAGCTCGTTTATCTGGAAGAAGAGAAGGCTAAGGAAGGATCTACTTGCTGTCTTTAACCACTTAAGTAGTAACTGCAGAGAAGACAGAACCAGAATAATCCTGAATACTACTCAGAAAAAAGAACAAGATGCAATGGATAGAGTCTGTAGCAAGGGAAATGCTGATTTGATACAAAGAAGTTTACCTGTGACGAGGATAGTGCCTCAAGAGGCTGCCAGTCAGGGAAATACACAGCACTTACTCAAAGGTGGATCTGACTGCAAAGCCAGCCCTGCTTTGAGCAAGGAGGCTGACCATTTGACCTCCAAAGGCCCCATCCAAATTCAGCTGGTGTGCAATGTTATGAATATTTGTGAACAGACGTACTGTGTAGCTACTGTACTTCATGGCTGGCCAAGAACACGGCCACTCAAAGGACACTGCATACACACAAGCTGGACACACTGACAGTTCTCAGCAGATTCATATAATTTTATTTATAATTTTGGTTGATTTGTTGACGTGTTTTTTAGTTGATTTGTTTTGGGGTTTTTTTAATCTAGTGGTTTCAGGACATGTAGATTCTGCACTGGGACTGAGGATTTTTCATCCCACTACTATATATACACAATATCTAAAATTAAAAGGAATTCTCTCTCATCTTCGTCCCATATCCCTTTTTTATTCCTCCTTTTACAGCAGAACAACACTTTTGACACAGTCAACTCAGTGAAATATTTAAGTAATCTCAACTTCTGCTCTAAGTCTATGATAAAATCAGGAAATGCAAAACAGTCTGTTAAAACAGACTTAAAAAAACCCCTCCAAATTAATAAACCCAACCCCAGTGTCTTTCCCTCTGCTTTTCTTCTGATCTTGCTCCAGGCCAGCATTACAGGAAAGCTGGACTGCAGCATTCCCATTCCAGCTCATTTTGTCAATGCATTTTACTTTCTCATGTGTTTTTGATCCTTGGGATCATCTCTAATTCTGTTCACTGTTCATTTAGCTCATAATTTTAGGAAAGGTTGGTTGTTTGCTGCAACACAGCTGACAAATAAGGTTAAGAGCTGGACTTTTCTAGCAGAGCACTCTGAAAGCAGCCAGGACTATATACAGCTTTGTGAATGCAGAAAACAAACAAGCACTGATTCAAATCCTGGTGAAAAAACCTCAGTTTGAATGTCATGTAATAGTCTGATAAGTACTTAACTGGTGCTCATCTGAGATTCTCAGAAATGTCAGCAGACTGTTATTTCCCTGACTATATTCAACCTCAGTGCATAAATTGGCAAGGAAAAGAAGATATTTATATAATTCAAAACACATTTACAGAAACCATAAATGCTGTAGCACTGTGTCTGTATGTGTTTTCTATCTTCAGGCAGGCAGGACCATGTCTCTTGGTGGTAATATTTGTTCCACGACTATCTTCAAGACATTTTGTCCTAAGATAGGTGAGCGCAATTTTTTTTCTTTTTTTTCAATCTTCCAATAGTTTAAATCGTCAGATATTTTTTTTACTGTCCTTATGATACATTTTACTTATCACACCTCTACTATCCAATAAGAAAGTGTATTAGGTATTTTACGAGAAAATATAGCTTCTGTAAGATTAAATTTTAAAATTCAGAATAGTGTAACCACTTCCTTGACGCAGGTGTAGAAAAAGTTTTTAGCAGTTGTAAAGGCAAAACCAATGTCTAGGAGATCAACAGCAGAGAAATATCTTCTACCAATGCCCTACATCTTTCCTTGTACAGATTCCACATTTATGGAGGAAGAAAAAGAGAGAATGATACTGGAGCACATAACTCATTCTATCACTGACAGCCCAAACTGAAGGCTTTCACACTGATGATGATGCACTAGCAGCTTCATAGCTACAGCAGGAGCAATCCTGAGGATGTAGAGCAATACACTTTGCAATACAGACATTGTTCTTCTGTTTGTGTTTCCTGGGTAGTAACACAAGCAATTTATTTCCAGTGTTTGGGTTTGTTAATTCCAACAACTTGAGCAATGCAAAGTCTCAGGCACAGAACAGCCCCTCTCCAGATACAAGCTAGAGCTTCCATTAAATGGCTATGTGCGTGTTAAATCGGCTCTGCTAAGGTATATCTAGGGTGTTAAAATCTGAAACACTCAAATTATGCATTCAGATCTCTAGTTAAATTCCTTGGAAGAAGCTGTGACCCATTGAGCAGAAAGACCACCCCTGGACTCTCACAGTCATGGTGGCAGTGGCAGCGACAGGTAGCTGTCAGTTTGAAAGAAGAGATCTTTAGTTTGTGCCCAGATATGGACTCAGATGTGTGACATGCAGCATTTCAAATTAGAAGAATTTTTTCAAATACATTTTTGCTT